TACTCATTTCTTGACTGATGCAAAGCTTATCTGTGATTCACAAATGCTGCGATGGGCAAAACACATTGCCCCAGGCGGGATCAAACTCCCACTTCTCGTTTGCCGGTCAGTAGGCTGCCGTGCTTGGGTTCATAGAATAACGAACAAATAAAGAATTCGTCGTCGATCAAACTTATTTCGAAATGCGCCAGGCTATCTGTTTCCATTCAGAGCCAAAGTAGAATTTGAAAGGCGATTTACCGATTTACCCCAAGCAATGTCATGAGCGGGCCAGGCGATGTAAGAGTTTTCGCCCTCCCAGACAAGTCTGGTACCAATGGATCTGTCCGGATGGATAGGGAGCTCATTTGACCCGGATGGCTCACGATGCAGGATATGATCACCTGTCCGTGCGTGTGGTATACAGTCTCCTTTGCATCTACACTACTTCCTCCCGGGATCATATAATAGAATAGCTATCGAAAACAAGTCAAAAATGATATTTTATGGATTCAGCGAGGAGTTTGCCTTAGTAGTTGATCTTCAGTTTCGCACATGTTTCAGATATTGACTAAACCAAAACCGATGTCATCCCCTTCTGGCTTCAATGTCTTCCTCAAAAAATCATTGCTGACCCACCTCCACAGGTTATCTCAGCTTTAAGAAGCCTCTATTGTTTTGAATTGATATCAGTGCCCCATAAAGGGTCAAGTATTACTGAGATAATAGCTCTATGCTTGTTTGGTGTTCATTTCTGGGGACATGCAGTTCATTGCAATCTCGTAGCTAAATCACTCTGACCTAAACTATTCTTATCATGGTACTGAACGTTTTGAATGGAACTAGTTCCAGTCTATTCTTCCTGCCGTCTCCTTTTTCACGGACTGTCTGCGCAATGCTACGTTATCAAATGTTGGTGATCAGTAGTCTTATCATTCCAAATGACGCTAAAGGTATCGGAAACGTGCGCCGTGCGCAGAATCTCTCAGAATTACGCCCATTGTGATTTCTGCCCTGTCGTTACCGAGTCCTTCCTTTCTCAAGTATTGGTTTGTTGAATATGTATGAACACGGCATGCCACATACTGATTTCTCTTTCTAAATTGATATCTTCTGTTACTCGGTCGTAACTGTTTGGGGGTTCATTAATGCCCCCGCGAAGACCTTTGTAGTGTTGTAGTGTTTTTGCTTTTTTTCGCAAACTAGTTCTACAGCTGTTTCTCTGAGAGTGCCGCAGAGTATTTGTGCAAACAAACTGTCACACCTTTCGATGGCAATGTAGACACATTGTTGATTCCGTCAGTATTCTTCCTCATCATTTTCCTTTTTACTTTCTTTGCAGCGTTCATTTTTTCAAATAACCCTTTCCCCCCCTCAATATTATTTATTATTTATTTATTTATTTTCATACGTCCAGTGGACGCGCTCATAAGGTATACGGAGTATATTCAAATAGAAATACTATCAGTCGCGAAAAGGGCAGCAGTCGTCCTCAGTTGTGTTACAGCAATTAATGATATGTTAACGACTGACTTAACCAATTTGTGAGAGACAAAAACGAGAGAGGGGCATGTTCAAAAGATCCCTTGAGTATTGTTTGAACTCTGGGTCATACACTAGGTTGATCAGTTGGATTTATGTACAGACATGGAAGTAACAAAGAGCATTGCCATGAGCCATAAGGTTAGTGCCTCAAAGATAACCCTACTGCGTAAGGGCGGGTGCAGAAACACCTCTTTGATCTAAATACGAACCCTAGGAGCTGGCTCGGGGGCGCTTGTGAGGATAGCTAACCATGCGATGCCATAACTTGGGCTCATTTTGGGATTGGCTAATAGGCTTTAAAATGAATTCGGTAAATAACATTAAAATTTTTAATCAGTTTGGGATCTAACAAGCTAAGTAAGTGCAGCCTATGGTATCTCTGGTGAACATGAGACTGGTATTCATTAATCCCATATCCTCTACATTTTACTAGAAAAACCCTGACGGCGCCCATGTCGTTAGGGGGGGGGGACATTGAAGTGAGTAAGCCACATAAGAACTTGGGACTAAGCATTAGGGATGAGGAGGGATTCTGGGGAGGACGTGAGCAACCTTTGTTCTCCGCGGCGTTCTTCCCATTCCCTGGGTTTAGTCCTTGTGCAGCCTACCAGCGGTTTTACATGCCCTGTTATAAATTTCCTCCCTAAGGACATAAGCGCCACCCTGACTTTTTCGCCCATTTGATTTTTTTTTTCAATTTTTTCTATCATGACTTTTTGCTTTGCCGATATACCTACTCGATATTCATAAGTCATACAGTTTTAGTCAGAGGATAAAGAAGGGCGAGAGAATAGGCGTTGATCACTCCCTTGGTGGGATACGCCACGCTCTCTGTTTCCGTTCATAATCGCACTAGCATTTGAATGCGATTTGGCCCATGCAGTAGATTACGAGGGCCGGCCGATGCGCAAGTCGGTGCATTATCCTCTCACGATCAGACAACCGTGTTATCAATTGTCCGGATTCGGAGGGACAAAAGGCCTGGCTGGCCCGGCCGTGTACGACCCAGGATTATTTCTCGGAGCGTGCGCGTGGCAGACACTACACTTCTTCGCCTTCCAGGCTACAAATAATAACGGAGTATTAGGAATCGGCGTCTTTTGGTGCTCTTGGGAGACGCGCTCCTAGCTACAGCATTCATGAGTTTCAGCTTCGCATACATGACCCTTTCTTTGACGATTCCAAACTTGACACGTCCACTTCACCTGAATTCTCGTCGTGATGGACATTTAGACGTCAGCCGATATTATAGCGAAGGCCATACACAGAGACCATTACCACTACTGCTCAATCGCAGTTCTTCGTGAGCTTTCCAAAACTTTTTTAAAACGTTTATGATCGATGAAAAGTAATTTGGACAAACTCCAAGCCAAAGCATGATTTTTTGAGCTAATTCGTGCAATAGGACTAGTAGAACGAAAAGTGAGTTCAGTAGGGCCGGAGTATGGAGGTCTACCTCGTACAAAATATGCCCTCACGTACTTTCTCGTGCTTCCTTGTGATGTGGAGATCATAGTTAGGAAACGCGCACAGAAATATAGCCACTCCCCTCTGCTGTGAGTTCAAAAAACCATCTGATGGTCTCGGTGGTCTCGAGAGCCGGACTGCCTTAGGGTAGCCCACCTTTGGATCACGTGATGAATTCTTCGATTGAACTGGTTTTTTTTTTTTTGTTTTTTGTTTGTTTGTTTTTTTTTTTGGTTTTTTGTGTTTTTTTTTTTACGTCACGGGTTTGCTGAACACGTTTGGTCGAGTAGTCCATAATTTTGTTTCGACGCATTCAGTGCTTCGAGAGAACACCGTAACGTTAACTCCCAGTGAAGTCGATTTACTCAAAACCTTCGTGAGGTTACTTCTACTTCACAATGATATCAATCACTTTCTCAAACCTAATGAGGTTATGCTCTTCCTGGTGATCGGAATCGTGTACGTGGTCAGGTTGCCCGCGGCTGGCCAACAGTCGCATTCAAAACGTCCCACTAGCGAATGTACAACATGGATAGTAGAATGCGTGCCCGCTCACCAAAAAGGGAATTGATCACATTCGGAGGCAGATAAAACTTTATCTTGTATAACGCGTCTTGTTCTTGCGCCTTCGTTATGGGATGGTGCAATCCACCAACATCTCCAAATTTCTATGATGAGATTTCTTAATCAAGTAGATTAAAGGACCTAGTGAACCATTTCACGCACGTTCTTTTATGGAATAAAAGTGTAAAGCAGTCGACTTCCACCATTCTCTTTTTGGAATGCGCCACACACATTACTTCCATTCATTTTTGAGCCCTGGGCCGTGCATGTGGTGAGCACCGACGCTATACTACTACACCACTACTGCCAGTATCCTTCCCCAATACATGGCAAAGACTCTGAAAGAATGTCGACTCATAACAAGCTTTTTCAAGAGTGATTCCGCCTCAAGAACCAGCATGTTCACGAACTCCACGGGTTGTTCTAGAGAGAGCCGTTATAGCTGGTTCGCTTCGTGTAATCTTTTCCTTAGCAGATCTTTTCACTAAAAGAAAGCTTGCTGCTATTTTTGTCGCCGTATAATTATGCATTTGTCAGACATATTAAATTTCCATTTTATATCAAATGTGTTTATTCTTTGGTAAGCATTTCAATTGTCCCCTCCCCCCCCCTCGTGCAATGTTTTCTTTCGTCCACAGAAGTTGTTTAAGAATTCTGGTGTATAACCAAACCTTTGGCCCCACGGCAGGTCATCCGAACCCGCACGGCTCCTCCCGTTCACCAGGCAAGTGCCACTACAAGTTAATTATCGAGCCACGTTTTCGCCTACACCGCAGCTTTTCAGGCATACTTAACGCTATACGCTCAACGTTAACCGTATGAATGGTGACACACTGAGTTAGAGCGAAATGATACCCCGGTAGTACTAGCAGGGCACTTGCACGGAGGTAAGCGGGAGGTGCGAGTTCGAATCCCACCCTAACGCGAAAATTTTGCTTGTAACCCAGCATCTTGTGCCAATCAATGCTACTGCATACTGGTGTTATTTCAGACCCAATCCTCTTTGGAAACTTCTGCTCAAAATGACATGGAAATCTGTCCCCATGCTATATTACGACCGCATGGCTCGGGGTTTTTTCGATCTCGTTCACGCTCATGCCATTGTAAGTTTATACAACCCGGAAACTTATATCAAAGTCTACTACCATAGTAATTAATCTTCCTCTTGCTCAAGGGACACAGTTGAGGAATTACTTTTTTTTAGTATGATGGTACTCGACTGGCGTCGACGTGGAACAGCTGATGGATTCTCGTCCGTGAACTTTGTGTTGCCCATGCTGATGTAAGTGCCTTTTCCGTCGCTACAATGTCCTTCCTACACCAAAGCGCTCGCTCATCAATGAGCTGCTCACTTTTGTACCGACACAGAGCCCGTGGCGCGACAAAAGCGACAGGAAGGCTCGTGTCCGCGACAATCCGATCAGGAGGCCCGTGGAGCGAACGACGAAGCAAGACAGACGGGTCAGCGGACGACTCCCAGCGTTGCGTTTGTGGCTTCTCGCCGCGCGACGGGCGTCCTGTCATGTACCCCCTTCTTTGTGTTTAATTGTGATATGACCAATTCCCAACATCAGCATTTGTTTAGGACGTCGTGCTGGCTGAGGCACGGCTACATGACGAACGATAATACGAACATCACCATCAATACAATCAACATTGCCTTCTTCATATTTTACATCGCTTGTTTTGCATATTATCAACCGAAGAGGGTGAGCATTTCTTCCCTAATGTTCGACAAAAAAAATGGACCACTTAGCGTAGGTTAGAGTTCCCTTCCGGCTTGAAAAGCTACAGCAAAAATACGGCAGCTTATCTAAGCGACTTACACCAAGGGTCAAGTGTTCGGTGTGCCATGTTCAATGGGAATCGTATTTGGGATTTTTGAAGGGGGGGGGGGGTGGTGATAAACCGATCTTCAGAAGGAGCCTTGATGGTAGAAATTGAGTGGTCGGGTTGTAGTGAGAGCTGTGAGAAGGTGCCATTTGAGGGGAATTCAACACTTTTCACGAAGAATGCATGGATAGCGAAATCCAGGATATGTTGTTTTAAGAATTATTTCTCTCCTAACCCTACTCATCCGACGCAATTTTGAAGGAAGTTTTCGGGTGGCGCTGTCAAGGCATATCATTACTGTTACCAATTTCAGAAATACCTCTACGGACAACTACTGGCATGTGCTGCAGTAGTCAAGCTGGTCTTCATGTACGTCGACACGCAGAGTGGGTTGTCGAGCGACCGCTAAGGTTTAGGTGTAGCCTCCACACAGGATGTGGACGATTTCACATGATGACTGAAGTGTTCAGGAAGCGATGTAGCACCCGACGTGATGGGTTCAATTGCAGCAGCAACGCAGATCGCATCGCTGGCTGGTGGTGTCTATGAAATTGTGAGTATTGGAATACAACTATTCTTGTACTAAAGTTTCAGGGACGGTGTTATTTGGGGGGAAAGTCGCGCCGATGAAGCATGGATAGCCCCAGGATCAAATTCCCCTGGGTCCCATCCAGTTCTCATTCTTTGAAATTGGCCCTCGAATATGACAACATTTCTTTCTACCGGCTTTATCCGCATGATGAGTTTCGCTAACCATCATTAAAGGAATCCTGCGCGGAAAATTCTTGCACTCTTTCCTAACATGAATATGTCAGTTGTGATCACTGGAAATAGCACACAAAGTTTCACGCATGAAGATTCTTTCTGAAGAGAAACAAACGTACAAAAACTACACGTTATGGACCATCGAAGGACCAGGAGGCAGAGCCAGGCGAGGCATGGAAAGAAGACGGCGTTTGGCCGGCTACGTACCAGGCGACGCAATGAGAGAATCGGGTTAAAGCGCGCGATTTCGGAGAGTGGAGACAAATCGATCGATGGAATAGGATGGAGTAGAAGTGTAAGATGTGAATGCAACGAAGCAGAAGGCCAGAAAGAGCTTCTAGTGAATGCACTCCAAGAACCAAGTTTGAGCATCCCCGTCGCCAGCATTCGTGAAAGACGTCCGTGGGCAATTCGAACGCGTAGCAGCCTTTTCGAGTTTTCGAATTTCTAATCAAAACGAAAGCAATACTTCAGTTCTTTTCACTATTATCGTGGATAATGAGTCTCAAGCCAGTGATTTATGGCTGAAATAGAATCATGATTTTTCCGCGCAAGATTCCTTCGTATAAGCATCGAATAGCATGTAGCAAAAGGTGCTGCACTCTAATCACCTTCTAGCAATTACCGATAACAAGCGCCACACCGCTGGAATCGCCGAGCTATGTAGTTTCAGGTTTTTTTTCAGCAAACAAGTTATGATCAACCATATTACATGAATTAAAATTGCAAGTATCGAAAAAAGCCACTATCTAACAACAATTCAAAAAGCTCTCTTAACGAGGCTTTCATAGCTCACAGATGCATCTGTAACAACCGTACAATCAGCCGTACGCTTATAATTAAGCCTCTATAAATTTTACATTTTCTCAGTTCGATTACTTAGTCAATTTAGAAGCGAGCGCTCTCATTTGGCCACACCGAATACCTCCCGGCATTGTTCCAGTACGCCCATGTTCCTGCTTATTGTGCAATGGCTTGCATTTGGTATCTTGACAGGAAACCAATATATTGCGGTGAGCCAATTCTTCAACTCAGGTACATCCCTGCATAATACATATACCTATTTCAGATCGCCAATGTAGCTGCTCTCATTGTGAACGTCGCCACAATCTCATTGTACTTCATATACCCACCATTAACTTGGCGTGTTCCCATCATCGGTACAGGACCTCTAACTGGAAAAGAAGAAGGAATAGAAACACAATTAGTCATTTTCAATGGATGGACTGATGACTTATGGATAGATGCATTTATCGCATACGATGTCGCCTTCTTGCCGCTCTGTCTTACTAACCTCCAGATATATCACACTTTAACTACGGTTACACTATTAATGTTTTAGGTTAGCGTTATACGCTTTGGTTTTACTTCTGTGTGTGCACCCAAGCATCTTTGAACTACGCTAGAACATGGCAAGAATATATCATGAATTGCAAATGAATAATTGGACGGTCCGTACACCGGATCAGTAGCATAGAATTGTTCAACAATTGTATAAAGCAATTCTTCTTATTCAAGCAAGGCACACATACAAAAATTCGACACATAGACACGCTTCACAAACAACGAAAGTATATCCGTAATGAAATGTATGGAATTGCAGGGCCAACTTAGAATGGTCCGGTGGTCCTAAATCCATCTTCCCCCGCCTAACCATTAAAGCGAGGGGTGGGCATAATGTGTTTAGTGTAACCTGACGCACAATTGAAGGCCTAAACTCCCCCATCCCTTCTTGGATGAGATGATTTTCTCCACAATTTATCCCTATCCCTTCCTTGATGAGTGATGATTTTCTCAACATGTATTAAATGAAAACCCACCGGTGGCCATTTTCACCCTAAGCATAGCCCTGATGGTAAGTGGCAATATGTACAAAAAGCAACAAAAAATGTAATGCAATGGAACAATTTTACCAGCGAACGTACAGATTTTTACTTGGTCGACTTTTTCTTCCTACGTGGAGCCTTCTTGTTGCCATCATCCTTTTCAAATGCGGTACACATTTCATCCGGTAGGCTGAACGTGTTTTCCATATAAGCGAATAGCTCTTCCGGATACAGTTTCTTCACCTACAATAGTCTATTAATCACCCTGACATGTTTACTGTTTGACCAAGTTGATGGCAATTGCTTATGAGAAGGGAAATCTGTACGAGAAAAAGATGGACCTTTGCATAATGGGTAATCCTTGGACAACCATCAAAATTTGAGCTCTACTTGTTTCCTGCCAGAATTGAATAACCCTTCACATTAGTTGGTTAATGTTGAACTGATCAAATCAAGTGAAGTTAAAAAGAAACAGAGCTTGTTGATGATTGGCATAAGTTAGTTGTTCTACCATCCAAACAAGAAATCGAACCCACTGGCCCACTGGTGGTCACAAACTGAGACCCTTACATTGAAAAATATTCAGTATATTATGAAGAGATCAATACCGAAGTGAGCCTGTGCACAGTTCACGTAAGGACAAGGAAAAGATTTCGAAATTCGAATCGAGTACAAACGAAACCACCTAAGCTCATAAACCTTCTAGTGTTGCCATAACCACTAATAGAAAGGAAATGTAGAGAAGCATAGAATGCAAGATAAGAGAGACCTTTCGACTCACCTGTTCATAGGGCATAAGATCCAGGATTACTTCATCATTCGAATGCTGCTCACGCTTAGATTGTCTGCAAAAATGCAAAAATAAACCCATTTGAACTCGGGGCCGTTCTGAAAGCTTACCTTTTGATCACCAAGTCCATTTCCTTGATACAGGTTTTCTGTAAATTTTCCGGAGTGTATAATGGGCCCAATACTTCGACAGTCATGTGGTAATCATCAAGCAGGGCAGCATCCATATCCTGTTCGTATACCCATGTTGGCCTGAAAGTGAGCAAAATTCGGTGAATGCCTCGACACTGAATCTGCTTTCAAAATATTCAAAACAACATACTCCCAATCCACTAAATACTCCATCTTGTTTTTCCCCTCCATTTTTTCGAGCCTTCAAAATGCGCTTGATCTCGTATTTTTCTCCGCTCATTGTTCTGAAACGTAGGATTGTAATCAGGCCAAATTACAGTTTTTTTTTTTTGAAGAAACGAATAATATGCTAAAAAATGAAGTAGTGAGGGAACTCCCCTTGCAGAAGTAAAAAGAATAGGAAACATTTACTAGTGACATTTATTACAGAATATGATGCACGTTTGAGATATCTGAATCACACCAGAACCTCATCTTAATTAAGACAAAAACACATCCGGAAATTGACGTGCTCGACATCACCGATGCGCATTAATAGACCAGTGAAATTAGGAAGGGAAGCCCGCATATTTTATATTAGACGCAGGGAAACGAATAAATAAAACAACACCAAGAATAGGAACAGGACCAGAAGGATGCGCAATTTTCGTTCCGCACGGCACATATTAATTAAAAAACGTATCCTTTCGATATATTAGTGATACGCTGTTGGACATCACCGATGCGCATTAGGTGGAACAAGTATTCAAAAAAAAAACCAAATACAGATCAGAGTAGCTCAAGTTTGACTATAACGAGTTCGTAGAAGACAACGACGGTGATCAGCAAGTATAAGTTTTCCTACAATTAACCCGGCAGTATGTAGACCTGTCCTCTGTGTCGAACCTCTTTGATTCGTCGAACATGTCGTAAACAGGGCAGTGCTGTACGGAAAAGAGCTCTTGAACGGTCTTTCATCAAAGGCTTAACATCAGCTTCTTGACAAAACAGCTGCCCAACAATAGGAGTAGGCTCCTGGAATAGAACAGTCTGATTATGGTCGTACATTCAAAGTCCTTTTACCGTGAAATGTACTGCACAAATCGAAAAAAAAGAATGCACTTCGCAGGTGGAGCTGAAGGTGAGTTTATCTTTGGAGTTCTCGAAGTTTTTCGAGCGAAATCAGGAGCGCTAGAGGGGGCGGGGGTTAGATAGCGTATTGTGCAGTCCTCAAGCTTTCAGCCGTGTTTAAGTCTCTGAACATAACAGCACGGGGCATGAATCTTCCGACATAGCACAGAGGGAGGAGACACCATTTGTTTGGTCTTCACGTGCGAAACGGAGACTAAACTACTTCTCTGCTCACCACCCCTTTTGAATTAATTTAAACAATCTTGAAGAATAATATTGAATTTCGGTTTAACATCTTAATCAATAATAATAAAAACGATTTAGTTTGATTCAAGATGTTTTCATATTAAACATAATAGTTTCATTTCATATCATAATAAGAGCATAACGGTATTGTTTCTACTGATAAACATGAACAGAAGCAAGCTTAGTGAAAAGCTCTGATTTGAATATTCAGTGAGGCTAAAAAGGGGATAAGATGGCGCGGGATAAAACAGAAATAAGTAGAGCTAATCAGGATTGCTACAGCGACGTTAATCGCTGACGCCATCGTTAATTATTAGAATCGTCGAAGTATCGCACAGATTCTGTTAGCGGGAATCTATAACGACCCAAATCAGCCACAAAAATTCATTTCAAGATAGGACACCAAGACCGAGCTAGATCAGTTGAGAGGTTCAAGAAACCCACTCAAGTCTGACGATAGGAAAATTGAGTTCGTTATTCTAGCATGCACACACATCCATGTCATACCCCAACTACAATTTATAAGTTGACTTACAAGCCCCCATCTTGATCACAACTACAGCCATGAGAATACACACGCGAAAGGTCAAAACGAGGAATAACCAAGTGTAGTCAAATTCTCTAAAGGACCACGCCGACTAATCAACGATTACCTGCTCCTTCCACTTGCAGACCTGATCCTTGTCCTTCATAGGGAGTTTTTTGAAAGGTGCATTCAACAGACTTCGTTTCATTGACAAGAACTCATCCAACTTGCCCACAATCTAAATGAACCAAAAAAGGAGATTCAGAACCAGGAAAAAGAACAAAAACAAAACTCACATCATTCAGTTCTGAAAGAGTCATGCGACCGCGCATGTATTTGGGAATTATTTCGAATTCCTCCGGCGTTATAGAGGGAATGATGGCGTTTCCGGAGATCACCTGATTTTAAACGAAATATGTCTTCTATCGATGGTCACCGAAGTAAATTAAGAGAGTTTAACATTTAGAAACGTTCAATCAAATAAGGACACTTTCTACGTACTAAACTCCACAGTAGTCTCATGAAAAAAGGACATATAACCTAAATACGAAAAAAAAGCTGAGATAGCCACCTCTCCACCGAATAAGAACTCCGGCTTCATGACCTTGTTCGAGTTTCTTGCGGCCACCAGCACAAGAAGAGAAACATATTTATAATTGAGTGCCGAACCTAGCACTTAGCTCAAGATTTTACGAACATGAGTCAAAGATGGCTCAGTGAATGCTCACCTCAGGAGACTGCACGGGGGCCTTCGCTGCAGTACTCTCTGCAGTAGTGGCAGATACTTCAGACGTTTGTGGACGTTCTTGCACAGCCGAATCTTTCGTGGCGCTTCTAACATAGCTGATGGAAACATCTGCATCCTAAAAGCATAGAGATACAAGAAAGATGTCCATTCACGGTCATCAAACACGTGTGAAGTTCTAAGCATACTCCAATTTGCATATGAAAGAGTTCAGTTTAGTGAAGCGAAAAAACGAAGAAATTGAGCAGATGAATTGATTAGTAATACATCCAAGAACAAGCGACAACATCATAAGATTCGGAAAAACCGATGGCATCCCCCAACAGATACAAAATGGACAAAAACTGAGGTGGTACAGAGTTAAAATGCATGCGGTAGCGGGACCAATTGAACTGATGGTGGGGCTTATTTGTTATGGACCGAATTACAAGCATTTCCATACTCATGAGTGAACATAAATTCCAGGTAAAGACGCACTGCTATTACAAAAAACACCTAGTATTACCCTGGACCACCTGAACGGCGTAATTTTATAAGCGCGCGGACCTCCGCAAGTCTACGGATATGAGCAGGAAGCTGGAGCAGCACTATTCAATAAAACGATCGGTTAGAAAGAAGCCAAACACGGATGATGATCTAAGCAAATCTTCAAGCACAAAGAGAGAAGTATGCTGTGGAAGTAGAAAAACCAAGTGAACAAATTGTCTGCGAAACCCTAAGAACATCAAAAAAGCCACTGGAAAAATGTAGAGGGATAGAGCGCCCGGATATACCACCACAGAAATGAGGAAATGGTATCCTACGACAGTTTTGTAAAGAGTAAAGGCTTAGAGGTAAACGAGAAGTGAGCAAAAACACTCTAAGACTGCTTGCAACAACGATAAAACACTCACCCGAGCAACATCGCCGACGCCGAGGAAAACATGCTCCAAAGGAGACATCTCGCGCAACTCGGCGTTTAACAAGCTGCAGTCACGGAAGATCTGACGAATTTCCTCAAGTTTCTCATTAAATCTTCGAGTAACTGAAAATACCAATGGAATTGTATGTAAACCAGATTCTCTGCAAAGAGACAACCACGATATACCTTTTTCAACTTTCGCTGTTGGTAAGATTGCTTCTACCTTACTGATGATTTGGTTTTTCCGGTCCAAAATCGGTTCTAGGTGCTCTTCGCCAACAGGAAGTTTGATATAACTTGTCATGAGGGCTGGAATAGTAAATTAATAACGAGCAAGGAATTTCCTAAAAACGAGGCCCGCTGTGGGGCGTCTACGGGTGATGAGAGGTGATCTACAAATCGAGAGATCAAATATAGGGATTAAATTTGCCTGCATTAATTTCAGGCAAGTTTATGTGCGTTACAGAGAAGTTGACAAAATGCAGCCAAAAGGTAAGATATGTGGGCTGATGGGCGCCAGATGGCCTCTGGTGAGGAATGAGCGTTCATATTCTGATTCAGTCCTCAATTCACCTAGTTTCAGAGGAAAAAAAATCACTGAGGATGACAAATTCTCTCATACACATGTGTGTTCCTGCCATCGTTCACAGTTCAGAACTTACCAGGACTTCACAGTCGCCACGAAGTTTCATGGGAGTTTTGACCTCTAGTTCATTCAACCTACTTCTAGGACTGCGGACCTTCGTTGTCGCTTAGTTTTTTTTTGGCACTTTGTAAGAGTGCACACAGTAGCGGTCAAAAGTGTTCGCCGAAACGATTTTTAGTGCATTATTTTTTCTCCTTGAGCAACGCCTCGAAAGATTGATATACTAGTTTTCTAGTGTTTTTATATCCCAAGTCTTGAAGAATCAGGAATATTCAAAGAAAAAATTTCCGGCGTGGCACATGGATTTTTTTCTAAGCGAAAAAGGAGAAGCCACAAAAACTGGTTTCCGGGAAATTGATTTTGGCGTACTGTATATCTCATTGCGCATGAGTCAGCATACGCCTTTAATAACAGTTACTCTTACTCGACAGCCAATGCATGAATTACAAAAATACAGTTAGAGTGAATTTGATGAGGATCAACATCCGCTACAGCGCTGTTCTCACTTTTAACTTCCACATACGTAGATGAATGCGCAAAATCTAATCTGGCGGACAGCTATATTGACAATTAAATCCCTATTTTAGTGACAAATTTACTCTGGTCATCAGGATTTTCTAGGGGGCAACGATGGGTTCAGGGCACTCTGTGATGAAGCAACTAGATGGAGCCACCGGTAGCCGGGACAATTGTCGCTATTCTAAATTTGCCTTCCGCAGCACCGATCCCTCCTCTTCAAGGTTAATCCTGAAGTGTGCGTCTCCATACTCGTGTGCTGGTTTATGTGGCTGCCACTCCCGAGCCCATTGCGCACGTTTCTTTCGATGAGTAACACATGTGAGGAGCGAAGCAAAATTATCGTTACCTCAGAAAAGCCGATTGGTGAAACTTGGATTCGGGGGGCACGCTATGAAGCGGCGCTGTTTTGTCTGCTCTACCAAGGCTTAGCCACCGATTTTTATTATATTACTTTCACTTTAACCACTTTTTAAATGCAGTTAGTGGCCAGTAAGTAACTGTCCCTGTCAACCCAGCGGAGGAGGCAGTGCGAACAGAGACGCCATGCCATGCTCGTGCAGCCCCCCCCCTAACCGGTTACATCAGCCGAATGTTCCCAAAGTAATTTGCGCTTATTATTACTTAATGTCACGTTGATAGGTAAGTAGAGTCTTTACAGTTTTAGGGGATCTGAGTTCCAGCTTTAGGCCGAACTAGGTGTGAAAACAAACATTCCGGTGGTTTTGGGAATGGTAGACTCCCTCAGCAGATTTTCATGTCACATCTGCGTTAATCTCGAACTCCGGGACAGAATTACATTACATTTACACGGCATATCACTAACAACTAGAGAACCTTGCAAAAATAGCGAAACAACATTCGAAAATAGCAAATAAAGAAGGGGTGTTACTAACTGCACGGTATGTTTTTTGGATGCTAGCGTGATTGGCCAGCGCTTGGGAGTTAGTACTGGAGCACGTTATTTTCTAGGTATTCACGCTCGGTATAGGGTCGAAAAGAGGTGAAAAGGGCTTTGGTGACATGCCCCGCCGGCCAGGGTGAAGCGTCCGTCCTCACTATTAAGACAAGGGGTCATGCTAGCGACTTGAGGGTATTGTACTGAGCAAGGTTAACCATCCTTGAGTTGTTTTTTTTTTGGAGAAACGTTCATGGTTTTTTTGAGACTTTATGATTTTGGCGAAAATCACGAAAGAGTCAGGTACGAATTTTTTTATAAGATTTGGATTCTTTTCTCTCTCCCGCTTGTGGGTTGCTGAGGTTTGATGTTCGGCCGCAAGGTTGCCGATCTGTGTTGGTGGTCTCGGACCAACACTGTTAAATGGCCATATGGGTGAGGTAGTAGTCAGGGTGGGGGAGGACGCCCTGGGGGGGAACGTGCGAGGAGTTTGTTAGGGAAGTCCATAGGGCTGACGAGTGATGGTGGGTGGACGATTGAGACGCTTTTCCGAAAAATTTTGCGCTAATTTCTGGATGACTGTGACGCGAAGGCTGACCCTGCTGTCAACTCGCCCGACTTTTGTGTGTGATTGGCTGATTCGAGATACACTATGCTCACATCGGTAACCTGGCTGTGCAGCCATCAGAGGACGAGTAGTGCGGTGGTCCACAGTACAGTGCTTTCTTCATGTATACCCCTTTATTTCACCGAGAAATTTTCTTGTTGGGGTGGGATTATTTAGCAGACTTACATTGCGGATTCGCTGCATGGGTAGAAGCATAGAGAACGTGTTTCAGATTTCAAGTGGTTGTAGAAGAAAATTTGAGCATTTTTTTTTTTTGACATATCGATCGTTCATACATGTACTATACGTCACTTGCATATAAAGCCTCATTTATACAAACTCAGCAATGTACTTTATGAAAACCAACATTCAAATAGTGCACCCTGTTTGAATGAGAGCTCCATGACTCGATTTGGCCCACTCATTGTTAGGTTCCTGAGGACTGAAGGGTCGATGCTTTCCCACGCCATCCATTGGACCGGCAGTTCGAGCGTCGTCAATGGTGAAAACTGGTGTGTTGCGAACCGTTGCACGGATTGTTCCTTAAAAGTTCTCCAGTGGTTCAGACTCAGGACTGCGCAGGCCACTCTCATAATAGAACTTTTCTGTCCGCTGTAACTATACGAGTGCACCCGCTTAAGGCATTGGCCACTTTGCATAGTCCTGTGGAAAAGCGTAGTCGTCGTTTGTAGTCGCTGCGATTCACGAACGGCAATAAGTTGTGTGGATTCGATGAACTTGTCCGGTATCCGGCAGGGAAACAATGCGAGCTTCGCTTGCTGTCACCAGCAGCAGACTCCTCAACTTAGCAACCCGCCACCCTAAGGCCTTGTCTGAAACGCACGGTCCTTCCTCGGGTCAGTACATCTGGACTCATCGTGGTCTGTCCAGCGTGAGAATCATTCTCGTCGCGAAAAAAGTACCTTAACACTTCAGAATTACTCTTAAATGATTAAGACTTCGCCTCGTTCTGTACATGCACCTGTCGTCCGAATCCGTTGGGTCACGTTTCTGGTGGCCGCGCCGCAAACTCGAGGCGAGCCATCTTGTTGCGTTGGTAAGGCGTGGCGCCTTTCTCATAACTTCCTCACAATGTTGCCGCTGCGTTTGATAGCTCCCTATACGGTCGTTTACGAGACAGACAGTTGCAAGTCTACACGGATCTGGTTTACGCTTCCAGTGCTTTTCGAAGCTTTCCTCCATATTTCTCGTTCATCTCTGTTGGACAACTTGCGTTGACGTCCTCGGGCACCTCCGTTGTCGTAGGCTTCCAGGATCTGAGGTAAGAGCGACCGCGCAGTGAGTCCTTCCGATTTGACTTGGCCAGTCTTCGATTGCCGAGTCCGACATGTGGAGAGGCCGATTCTTGGGCGTTTGCTTCTTAGAGGAGGACCGAAACCACGCGGGCACAGTCGCACGAAGACATTGGTCGCCTTCGGTCTTGATCCGAATATGTACCACGGTTGGAAAAAGGAAACGGTTTCTCGCGGTATAGGACTCAAGAGCATGGACGTAGATATGAACGAGTGAGTTCAGAACTGTTGTTTGAAGATGCCATGCATGGCAGGTTGGCTTCACTGTTGTCAAGGGAATAAAAGTTGCGCCTCCCTCTGAAAACGGACCATGCGTGTATTCTTTGTGATGCAGAGGGGCCACACAGACGATGAGCACGATTTTCTTATATATTTCTTATATATATTGTTTTATTTTTTTTTATTTTTCGGATTGTTCCGATGGTCAAGATGGTTCGTCGACAGGGTGGATTCTGACCATTCAGACTTTGCACAGGTGCAAACTTCAACTGTCCATCTGAGATTGTGCAGATGTTTTCGCCAATCGTTCGAGAAGGGGTGGCTGGTTGGTGAAGCGAGCAAGGGCAGATGGCTAAACAACATACTAAGATCAACCAGTATTTCAGCGCGTTTGTTATTTCATGTGCTCCTCGTGAGACAATACTGATGTACATCCGGCTGCCCCCCTCCCTCCCTCTTTCCACGGGAATTTCCCGCAGGAGTTCGCGTTCATTCACGCAAAACCACACGAGTCTTACGTCTCTCCGTGTTTTTTAGTTAGCGGATACTTCACCTGCTTGGCCTCGGTGGTATGACGAGTCTTCCTGTAGGGGTGAGTAATTGGTGAATAGCTCGCGATGGCCCAACCAGTAAATCTTTCAAATTTTTGACAGGTGAGGGGAACTCGAGGGTTTGAGCTATTCCATTTTTTGCTTCCGAGGTTCTTGCTTCGAATCTTTGGAGCTATGTTCCTCCGTGCAAGGATTGGGCTTTGTGGCAACCGATGTACTCAGTTAGGGCCTGCCATGGTAAGTGGCAGTTGCCGTTACACATGCGTGGTCCGGGAATCGGAATTTTGGAGTGGTCCGTCGACCGGGCGGTCAACCAAAGCTTCCATCCCTAAGCCGGGTTGAGATAGTAACAGTGCCAGAGTTGCGTTGACAGAGGATGAAAACGTGACTGTGTACAGGTGCTGGCGCACCGACAGTCATAGATAGGCCAAATCGCATGTGAGCACTGGACCGATATGCACAAATGCGAACTGAATGCGTGAACCGCATCAAAAAGGGATGAATCAACGTGCAACAGCTTTCCTTTACCATTTATGCCCTTCAGTGCCCCCCCCAATCAGCGCCACGCTAACATGGGACATTCCTGCCATCCCACGGTCAAGGTCCATTCGCACCAAAACTAGCGACGTCTACCTCATCCCCGGCTGTTTTTGTAAGGATACTCTCTACCTGCATCGACGATGGGATCGGTAATGACGATCTCTCTGTAGGGGAGAGTAATTATGGTGCAATAGTTCGTGCTGCGTACAGTAATCTCCAAATTTTGACAGGTGAGGGAGCTCCGGAGGGTTTAGGCTATTCATTTTTTGGCTTCCACAGCTTCTCTTCGAATCTTGGAGGCTTCGTTCCTCTGCAATGAATTGGCTTGCGCGAATAAAAAAAAAAAAAAAGACAAGAATACTTGACACAAAAAGTAAATCATTAAATAACCCGATTTACTCAGTCAGGTGCTTGCAGTGGTGAAGCTGGCAAAAGGCACGCGCTTATATCGGGCAGTCCGGGGCGAATTGACTTTTTGAGTCGCCCGGGCCAACCAAGCCTTCCATCCCTTCAGGTTTTTCGGTTAATTGGTACCAGACTTGTCTGGGAGGATAAAAAACACTGACTTGTACATCGGCTGGCCCCCGCAAGTCATTGTATAGGCCACATCGCATTCAAAACGCCACTACGAATGTACAAATGGAAGTAGAATGCGTGCCGCATCCCAAAAAGGGATTGATCAACGGCAAATGCTTTATCCTTTATCCCTTAGTCCCCCCCCCCCCCCCCTACTGAAGTGACGCCTCTTGATTCACATTTTGTGTACGTATCGCTTCGCAAGCGTGCTGATGTGGAAGTGGCAAGTGGCGCCTCTTTCACACGGATATCCCCGACATCGCGGATTGCGGCTCAATTCCGCGCAGACCTAACGACGCATTACATCCCTCAGGATTTTTTGGTGTTACCAGACTCGTCTGGATGGATGGAAACACCGATTTATACATCGGCTTCTTCCAGTTATCTCTTGTGAAGGCTATCTTGCAATCAGCTGTCACTACGAATCTGAACGGAGAGTGGTTGCATGGCGCATCCCAGGTGGGGTCAACCCACGCTAATGCTTCATTCTTGATTTTTGTGCTGGACCAATAATCGAAAGGGATCGCTGAGAATTCCAAAAGTTATTATTGGAAGACTTTTTGAGGATTTCTTTTCCGCAGGTGGGCTTATTGACAGCTGGGTTTCTTAAAATCCCAAATTCTATATAAATAAGGCATCCCTAAACGAACTTAATGCCACACCACTCGGATCGACCATCATCGTTTTTCTGCCCGCATACGCACGGTCACAACTATTACTACTAGTTCCCCGGCTGACGGCATTTCAGGAATGTTTCATGTCCTACTTTCAGAATTCCACGGATGATTTCGCAGTACTTCTGAAGCCGACCGATGACGGTCCCCGAGTTGGCTCAACAAGACGTCGTCCCTGCGCTTCGTTGCCAGTTCGTTTTCGCCATTCTTTCATCTTTACTCTAGCTGCCGGATCGTGTCTGTACTCTCTACACGTGAACCGTGTTATCGTGAATCTGTACGGCGACGAATTCCTTCAGCGTCGTGCCCCTCCGTTCACTCCAATCATCGATCGATCGCAAACCGTCCCTGATCGTCTTGTTCGCATTCCAGCACCATTCGCCGATATTTTAATATCGTCACACAGACAGAGGGAGAGACACAGAGGTTCAGTTCCTCCTCCTCCTCGTTCTCCTCCGTTCCTTCCTTCATTCTCCTCTCTGCATTTGTCGCTTATCAGCATTAATCATCACTCATATTACGTCAATCACTTGGCTGTTCGCTCAAGTTAGCCCAAGTGGGTCCAACCACATTTTAACTGCCCACGCATGCGTGGGCGTACGGGTCCATTTCGGTCCAGGGACCTGGTCCTTTTCGCTGCAAAAATTCATCCACGAATTTTTCAGATCCAATTTTAGTATATGTTCAGGAATGAACGCTTTAGTTTTGATGGCCGTGAGTCGTCAAAAAGGCCTTTGTCCTGAGCGCCACTTCTGGAGGGTGTTATCTCGATTGTGGTTGGAACGTGAACTGATAGACCTAAGATATTTGGGCGATTGACCACGAATCGTTTGGGTCTCCCCTACCCAACAGTCAGGTTCAGTACCCTGGGTCAGCAGGACAAAAGTACTGAAGGACCCGATGGTCGAAGAGGAATTCAATAGCGAAGGTTGACTGCGTGCCAAAATCATGATGAGTTTCGCGTGTTTTGCATTCCTTGAGTGCGCCACTGACAGCGCCCGCGCCACGAGCACTATTCTCCCCCCGGTGACCGCACGCTCGCTACTTCTCTCCCTTTCTCTCTCTCCTTCCTGTCGGTCCTCCTCTCGTTCCTCACGCATAACCAGGGTCGGTCCTATCGTTGCTACTTTTCAAAAAGTTTTGGTCGGTCCTATCGTTGCTACTTTTCAAAAAGTTTTTACGACCCCCCTCTACAAACTCATCAA